ATATCATCTTTTCGGTTTAAGAGATTTAAATGATTATTCTAAAAAAAATATTGAAATGTTGTTACCTTTTTTTTTTTTTTTTTTTTTTATTTAATTTTTTTTTTTTTTTTTTTTTTTTTTATTTTTTTTTTTTTTTTTTTTTTTTTTTTTCTTTTTTTTTATTTTTTTTTTTTTTTTTTTTTTTTTTTTTTTTTTTTTTTTTTTATTTTATTTTTTTTTTTTTTTTTTTTTTTTAAATAGAAGTATTTAGCTCGTATTTATTCAAGTGTAGGTGGACACTGTCGGTGCTTAGGGGAGCGGGTAATGAAAGTCTCAATTAATTTAAATAAATTTGCCATTTTGATCAAAATTTAAAATAAAATCAATTTTTACTGAAATTGGATAAACGATACCTGATGTAGTACATATTACATTGATTACATTAGAGAAAACATATTGATACATATAGTAGCAAACATAAAGTAATAACTTTTGAAAATTAAAGTTTAGGGCAAAAAGTACTCAATTACAAAACCTTAAATTGGTGACCAAATCAACAAGGAACAAATGTTAAAAATTGGTCTAAATGTATTTGCTTGTGTAAATAACAGTCCTTCAAATCACAAATAGGATGGTACGGTATTTCAAATTGAGATAAAATCTTTAGACCCATTATTTCTCAACACTGCAAAAATGCATTCAATAACTATTTTTTTTTCTACACGGCCTCTCAAATACGTATTTGAATAATGCAACACCAAGCTATTATTCCCTTAAACTTCATCCCGTAACTACCTGATAACTGCAATACTCTGGAATTGTGTTAGCGTTCAATCTAAAGAAACCTAGCCCTTTGTATATATGCGTCCGTTTCGACCCAACTTTCGTCCCGATCGAAAGACTGACTGGGCGATGGGGGGTGAGGAGTTGGGGGTAGTAACTCAACACCATCCCCCCCCCCCGGATTGGAAGCAAACCCACCTAGACCCACGAGAGAGTAGACTGCGAACGCTTTAAACGAAGCGTTTTCGGTCGATCGGACTCCCCCAGGCCAGGTGGGAGGTTCCTGGCGTGCCACCGCGTGGTCTGGTGGCAGGGATACTCGGCGTTTGGCCCGTGTGGAGGCATGGGGAGGGGGGCGTATTATCAGCTCACGCTTGACGACCCACTGACGCCATTTCCCAATGTGACGTATATATGTGTCAAAATTATAACCTGGTTTAAAAGCAAGCTGGTTTGGACATGTGTAGAATGTAAATCTAATGTACCCTTTGTAGATTGTATAGCTAATGTACCCTTTGTAGAATGTATAACTAATATAACTTTTGTAAAATGTATAGCTAATGTACCCTTAATAGAATGTATAACTAATGTACCCTTTGTAGAATGTATAACTAATGTACCCTTTCTAGAATGTATAACTAATGTACCTTTGGGAGAATGTATAACTAATGTACCCTTTGTAGAATGTATAACTAATGTACCTTTTGTAGAATGTATAGCTAATGCACCTTTTGTAGAATGTATAACTAATGTACCCTTTGTAGAATGTATAACTAATGTACCTTTGGGAGAATGTATAGCTAAGGTACCCTTTGTAGAATGTATAACTAATGTACCTTTTGTAGAATGTATAGCTAATTTACCCTTTGTAGAATGTATAACTAATGTACCCTGTGTAGAATGTATAACTAATGTACCCTGTGTAGAATGTATAACTAATGTAACCTTTGTAGAATGTATAACTAATGTACCCTTTGTAGAATGTATAACTAATGTACCCTGTGTAGAATGTATAACTAATGTACCCTGTGTAGAATGTATAACTAATGTACCCTGTGTAGAATGTATAACTAATGTACCCTGTGTAGAATGTATAACTAATGTAACCTTTGTAGAATGTATAACTAATGTACCCTGTGTAGAATGTATAACTAATGTACCCTGTGTAGAATGTATAACTAATGTAACCTTTGTAGAATGTATAACTAATGTACCCTTTGTAGAATGTATAACTAATGTACCCTGTGTAGAATGTATAACTAATGTACCCTGTGTAGAATGTATAACTAATGTGCCCTGTGTAGAATGTATAACTAATGTAACCTTTACCTATTACCCCCCTCCCCCCCAAAAAAACCAACAAAACCCACCTACAATGTATGTACTGTCTAAGAAAAATGAATTTGGTGACAGTGTCAAGAACAGGTCAAACACAACATCGGATTTACCCCCTCCTAACACGTCACGATCGATCCGTCTTGTGGTCCTCTGAGTATTCCCGTTAGCCGCGCGTGTGTTCCCCGAGTACTCACACAGCTGGGCAGACGACATTTGTGACGTGCAAGGAAACAGCTGATGCTACCTGGAGGACAGGTTAGTATGTGCGTTCTAGTATCTGATAACGGAGAAAATTTTAGTAATAGATTACATGCATGTATTAACTAGACTAAAGGCTAGTAGGCATTTTGGCAGGCCTACTAAATTACAGGTATTTTTAGGGGGACACTTTAGCAGGCCTACTAAATTTTTACATTTGTTTTTTTTTTTGTTTTTTGTTTTTTGGGGGGGGGGGCACTTTAATTTATAGCCATGTTTGTTTATTCTAGGAGTAATAAATTACAAGTATGTGTGTGCATTGTAGTATGCCTACTAGATTACATGTATGTGCAATAATCGTAGAATTATAGCACAGTTATTTACGTATACTGTAGCACAAGACTACAGGTAAGCTGATTGTAGCACTGGATTTAAAGGTTTGTCCAATTTAGCAGCAAAACATTGCATGTCTTGAAATATAGAAAATGAGTAAAACAAAATAGGGTTAAACGTGAAAAAAGGAACGCAACAAAAAAACAAAACAACGTAGAGTGTATAGAGTAATGCAACATTTATTTCTATGACGTTAGAGCATAGGAAACGTTTCTACAAAACTCTATTCTTGCTATCACTCACATGTCGAGTAGTGTGTCACTTTGTTTCGTTAAAATTCAACAATGATAAGGTTTTGTCATTTTTTAAATTGTATTTCAATTAATTTATTTGGTATGCAATGCATTCGCAAATAATCTCAAATAATCATTTTATTAAAAAAAAATTTATCAGCATATATTATTACTCTTAGCCCTAAATGATTTAATAGAGGAATTTTGGCGGCGCGCGGGACGCCCCACCGGTTGGGGGGGGGGTGGGTGGTTATAAATAGTGACCGACGTAAACATTTTCAAAAAAGGGATTATTTTTTTAGCCCAAATCCACAGGTTTACAGAGCGTGACAGAGCGTGACAGAGCGTGACAGAGCTATTTGCAGTAAAATCCGATTATTGCGTTATTTTTGTTTCCCTTGAAACAGCTTGAGTTGATCATCTTAAATCCAATGATGACATTTTATGTCAGGTCAATTTCGGCAAACCCCGAAATACGGTAATGTTTACGTGGACGTGATCCAGATCCAAGTTTTAAGCACAGCCTCCAAGGGATGCAACGGCAATAAACGGTGTTTCAGTTCTTGCAATTTGAAAATTGTCGACCTTGGCATGGTAAAAAGCTACATGTTCCTTTATTCATCTCAGAACGAAACACCCCAAAAAATCAGCCACAAATATATCTAGTACACAAATTATCTAGTACACAATTATCTAGTACTACAAAAAAAAAAAAAAAA